TTGAGACCCACTCACCTCATCACTTTTTTTTACTAAAATAACTAAAACATATTTATAAGTGACCAAAAAAGTGCCTTAATATTAAAACTAAATACAAATTTATATAAATGTAAAAGCATACCACGTTCCTCTTTGAATACTACAAATCAAACCCCTGAAATCTAAATTTTCTTTGTGAGAGCGATTTAAAAAATCATAAAAATTACTAGTTAGTTATTGAATTCTAGTACTACAACCCTTCATTCAGGGCCACATTTGCACCTGCACAAGTACGTGAATTCAGGAACAAAAATTTCATAAACACGAAAGCCCGAGTACAAAATAAAAAACATTATCGATGAATCGTAATAAACTAATTATGAAAAAATGTATCTCTATTCCTGATTCGCAAATGACGAATTACATCCGCTCTCGGGTAATACCTCGTTAAATAACAAACCTCAAACTCGTTTTGTTTATTTTTTTGTCAAAGCCTATGCTCCGTTTGCTCGGTAGAAATTAGTTTTGCTTCTTCTTGCTGCACAAGTAGAAATCAGATACGGTTAATCCGACGTTTCTCGCGTGAGAGTAAATTCGTTTCGTACGATTGATAAAAAAAAAAAAAAAAAAAAAAAAAAAAAAAATTAAAGCGAGGTAAAAAAAAAATTTTTTCTGCAGCCCGAATGGTCACGTCCAAAGAGTACAACACCCGACCCATCAGAAGGCCCACACACCCCGACGACGTCCCGCGAAACCGAAGAAACGACACGGCCAACGCGGCCAGCTCACCGACCACCCTCACATCCCAACACCTCCGTCCGACCACCGGCACCATCCAAACCGCCAGTCGAAGAGGTTGAGGAGATCGAGAACGAGATCAACGAAATCAAGTGCGATCGAGATTTCATACCATCCAAGGATTGCCGTTCGGTTGGTCTCTCTTTTTTCATTTCTTCATTTTTTTTTTTTTTTTTTTTTTTTTTTTTTTTTTTCTTATCACATAGTTTTTGCGAAAGCAAGTAATCCGATATTTTTACGTGCGAGGGCTTGGTTTCAAGTTACGTTAACCGAATTTTTCGGGTTGTTTTTTTCGTTGCATTAAATTATACAGTTACAGTATTATTTTCTTCTTTTTCACAGTATTACAGATGCGTCTACGGAAAACCACTCAAGTTCCAGTGCCAGGCAGGTCTCGTCTACAATCCCGAAAAAATGGTCTGCGATTGGCCTGAAAACGTCGAAAATCCCTTGTGCAATAGGATCTCATACTCATTAATATAACTATACGAAGACTTTTTGTATCTGTGAAACACATTCGTTAACGTGAAAATCGTATAAGAAAGAAATTGTTTCTGTTTCTCACGACTTATTGTAATTTTAACTGATAAGACAGAAGAAAGACTTGCTTGAGATAAATGGTGTACAATTTATCATTTTTTTTTTTTTTTTTTTTTTTGACAAATAAAAACCGGTCTACATTGAGCTCACGAGAGTAGGTGTCGTATACATAATAATTTATTTTTTCTTCAGACTCGTCGACGCAATCCACGTAATGGCCTACGACTTGCGCGGCAACTGGGCCGGCTTCGCCGACGTCCACAGTCCCCTGTACAAGCGCCCGCACGACCAGTGGGCCTACGAGAAGCTCAACGTGGTGCGTACCTCTGTGGATAAAAATTCCTTCTTATTTTCGACGAAAGACCGAAAGCATGGAAAAAAAAAAAAAAAAAGAAGAAGAGACCGGAGCGTCTCGAGGGGGTTTTATTTTTTTACGAGCGTAGCGTCCCCGTTTTGTTTGCAGAACGATGGCCTTCAACTCTGGGAGGACATGGGCTGCCCGGCAAACAAACTTGTCGTCGGCGTGCCGTTCTACGGGCGCACCTACACCCTCAGCCAGAGCAACAAGAACTACAACCCGGGAACTTACATCAACAAGGAAGCTGGTGGCGGGGATCCTGGAAAATATACCGGAGCCAAAGGGTTCTTGGCTTACTACGAGGTATGGGTCACAGAAATTACATGCTTTATTATAATTTATTGTAATGTAACTCGTTTAGAGATACAAATTTATAGTATTATCCGAAGAAATTCAATTTTATTCTTTTTATTCTCGAAAATATGATTTAATTTATTTTTTTATTTTTTTTTTATTTTCATATTAATCCAAGGTATCAATTGATAATCACGCAGGACTATAGAATAACAAAAAAAAAAATCTATAATATATTCGAGTGGCACATGATGTAACTACATGTTTTTCGAGTCGCTGAACGTAAATCTAAAGACGTTATTGCTTCACCGGGCTTTTTTTTATAACAAAAATAACACGTTTATTAGTGTCAATGCTTGAATTTTATTATTGAGGATACGTGAATAATTGTTACATGATAGATCAGTTGAGGCTTTGAAGTAGTGCTCAGCGTTCTGAAAAAGATTTTTTTTTTTTTTTTGTCACGCGTGAAAAATTTTTGGCACAGGTAGAATAGCAATGAAAGTAAAGATTGAAGAGAAAAAAAAATTATTTTAGATCTGTACAGTCGTCGATGACCCCAACTCTGGCTGGACGAAGAAATGGGACGACCACGGACAAGTTCCCTATGTCTACAAGGGTGAGTCCTATGAATTTATTGGTATCGATTACTGCGGGAACACACCCCAAAAGACATTAAAATACTCACACTCGTATCGCAAGAAAACCTACAACAACGAGTCTGATTCTCGAAAAATCGGATGTGTATTAACGATTATTCTTTTTTTCGCTCTTTCAAAAGAGAATAAGTAGCGATGCCTTCGTATGCAAAGCAGCTCCAAGCGAGTCCTGTGAACTCGGTGCATTGTCGACGAGTGACTCAAGCACAAAATTTAAATTAAAAAAAAACAAATGCACTTTGTGATAAAAAAAACGAGTTGTATAATAGAGATTTCTTGAGATAACGAAAAATGAGAGATGGAGCGAGTGTTTTCATTTGGGATAGCGGGTCTTTTGTATTCGAGTCAATTGTTGATTTTTGCAGGAACGCAGTGGGTGGGTTACGAGGACCCCAAGAGTCTGCAAATCAAGATGGACTGGGTTAAATCCAAGGGGTATGCTGGAGTGATGTCATGGGCCATTGATATGGATGACTTCCACGGGCTTTGCGGCAGGAAGAACGATCTTAGTTTGATTTTGCACGAGAATATGGTCAACTACGTGGTACCGAGACCGCAATATAATACTACTCCAAGGGTGAGGATTTCTTTTTCCTTTTTCGGAAATCTCTTTTTTTTCTTTTTAATATAGACGATCAGTTTAAAGAATTAAAAATTGTAAATGAGGATAATTGAGAGAGAAAGAGAAAAACAATGTCGACCGATGAAGAATTTTTGTGACGATCTGTAGGAATAAATAAAATTCAATGCGTTTTCTGTGCGTTGGGATAAAATGTATCTTATAGCGCACTACTTATGAGTTTTTAAATTTTTTACAAATACTTTTACAAATTTTAACTATTTATT